TTTACGAGGGTCACTATTTATATTTCGGGAATAGGAACAAAAACAAATAGTTAAGTTGCGAATATATTTTTATTGTTTTTCAAAGTACTCGCCACGATGATCGATACACTTTTGCATGCGCTTAAACCAATTTTCAAAGCATTTATTCCATTCCGAATGAGGTATCTCCAAAACATGATTTTTGAACGCTTCAATAGCTTCTTCGGGCAATGAAAATCGTTGACCACGCAGTTTATTCTTCACGGATGGGAACAAAAAGAAATCATTGGGTGCCAAATCAGGGCTGTACGGCGGATGACCCATCAATTCGATGTTTTGAGTGCTCAAATATTCTCTTGTTTGAGCCGATGTGTGAGCTCGCATTGTCATGATGAAGAACAATCCGACGTCTCTTGTTTGTTTTCCTTATTTCACCGAAGATTTCTGGCAAACAGATGGTTGTGTACCACTCAGAATTTACTGTTCTACGATCCTCTAGAGACACTGTTGCAATATGACCAGTTTTTCCGAAGAAACAGGCCACCATTTTCTTTGAAATGCTTCGTGCGCGAACAACTTTTGTTGGATTTGGTTCATCTTGGAACACCCATACAGTCGACTGCTGCTTACTTTCGGGCTCATACGAATATATCCATGATTCGTCACCTGTCACGATTTTATAAACGTCTTTTGAAGCACCGCGATTGTATTTCTTAAGCATTTCTTTGCACCAATCGACACGAGCCTTTTTTTGAGCAATTGTCAAATTATGTGGGATCCAACGCGAACATAACTTTCGCACAGCTAAGTGTTCATGTAAAATCGCATATATGCTGGTGGAACTAATGCTTAGGGATGCCTCAATCTCACAATAGGTTACATGACGATCTTGCTTAATCATTTCGTGCACAGCATCGATGTTTTCTGGCACTACAGTCGATTTTGGACGACCTTCACGAAACTCGTCGGACAGCGAACTACGACCACGATTGAATTCACTATACCAGCGATACACAGTGGTTTTTGATGGAGCTTCATCGCCAAAAGTCAAATTAAGTTGATTGACGCACTCTTGTTGTGATAATCCACGTCGAAAGTCGTAAAAAATCATCGCACGAAAATGTTCACGATTCAGTTCCATTTTTTGCCGAGACGAAACTTTCAACTAAATATAAAATAAACAAATAGCGTCCGTATGACAAAATGTTCTGAGTACGTATATCGTCAAAAATGTCAAACTTTACGATGGAACCGTCAGATGGACTCACATGACATCAGTGTTGCCAATTCCCGAAATATAAATAGTGACCCTCGATGTGGTTAACAAAATTTTAGAGGTTTACATCCAAGATGACTACAAATTATTATCTCTTGATGTTATCTCACTTTTTACTAACGTACCTATTGATTTAGTTCTCGAGTGTTTCCAATAGATGGCAATATATTGAAAATAATTGCAAAATACACAAATAAATTTGCTGGGTTGTCAAAATCACATTAGGCGCATAATATTCTTCAAGATGAGCGGGATAAATTTGGTAACATTTTCACAGAATGCGAAAGCTTTACTCAATCAATTGGAGTAGATATTACAATTCGGATTGTTTCAAAACAAAAGAGCAAATTATACAACAAATATTCCCAAAAAATATTTCAAATTTAGTCTGTTTTTGCCATATATAGACTCACTCATTAGTTCTCTTACAATTACATTTTCTGAGGAAAATAAGTGTATATTTAATATTTTCCAGTTATATCCATCTAATTGTAAAGCTTTGACACCAAAAGAGCGAAAAAAATTGTTCAAAATCAACAAGAGTGGTAGCTTGTTTAATGATGGACCAGTATAGCATAAGATTATAAGTGAAATCAGCAATAGTGAGGACATGTTTATAGCTGCCTTTGTATCTGCAATTTAACATGAACTTCTGAGATCTTTATCTTTGCCAGTTACTACAACAACAATAGAAAGGTCATTCAGTACATTACGGAGGGTAAAAACATGGCTCCGCTCTACTTTATATGAATTAAAATTAAGCGACTGTATGTTAAGCATTCATAGGAAAATGATTAAAAATGACGAAGAAGGATTCATAAATAAAGTTATAGACAAATTCGGTTAGGATGAAAGAAAACTGATTTTTATGTTTAATTAAAATTAAAAATATATCCGCTGTTTTCATTTCAAATTTTTTAAATACTTATTTTTTTACTTTTAAAAGTTTTAAATTACTTTTTATTTTTATTCTAAAAAAATATAGAAAATTTTTTAATTAAAAAAATTAAAATAAAATTTTAAAAATACAAAAAAAAAAAAACAAAAACCTTTCTCGATTTACATCTACCTTGTCGCGATGAAAAAGCTTTAATACTAAAAGATGTAAAAATATTAAATATGAATAATTGTTTCCCTGTCTGTAACAGCCACATAGAAAATAGTTTCGATGTGGTTAACAAAATTTTAGAGGTTTACATCCAAGATGACTACAAATTATTATCTCTTGATGTTATCTCACTTTTTACTAACGTACCTATTGATTTAGTTCTCGAGTGTTTCCAATAGATGGCAATATATTGAAAATAATTGCAATCTCCCTAAGTCTAAATTTTTAATTGGAGTAAGCTTCGTGTTAAATTCTACGTATTTTACTTTTAACAATGTTTTTTATCGACAATCCTTCGGCACACCAATGGGTCCTTTATCTCCTATCATAGCTGATATTGTATTACAGGATTTAAAAATAAAGCTTTTCAACTACTAAAGTTTTGTCCACCCATATACTTTAGATACGTTGATGATATAATAATGGCTGCTCCATCGGATTCCATAGATCACACATTAAATCTATTTAATTCTTTTCACGAAAGAATCCAGTTTACTCTTGAAATTCAAGATAATAATAAAATTAATTTTCTCGACTTAACATTGATATTAAAAAATAACAACATTATATATGATTGGTACCATAAAAAATCATTTTCTGGTAGATATTTGAACTTCCTGTCTCAACATCCTATGAGTCAAAAACGAGGTACGATAATGAGGCTAGTTGATCGAGCCTTCTTATTATCAAATCCAGAATTTCATAAAAAAAATTTAGAGTTACTAATCAAAATATTACTTGAAAATAATTATCCTCTGAAATTAATTTTTGACACAATGAACCAAAGACTAAAACATTTAATAGAAAAACGAAATATTCTTACAAACAAGAATGACCAAAATGTGAAAGTCTCGTATTTTTGCATCCCATTTTTACCGACACTCACTGAACAATATAGAAACATCATTAAAGATACGAATGTTAAACTCTCTTTTAAAGTCTTAACAAATTGAATAAATATATCAAAGTACACAAAGATCCTATTCCTAAGGTTTCAAACACCAATGTGATATATACGATAGACTGTAAAGAGTGCAATGCATCGTATGTTGGTCAGACTAGTAGGAAATTATCTACTAGAACATCGATCTAATATACACAGAAACGTAAAAAAATCTGTAATCACTGACCATAGATTAAAACATAATCATGAATTTTGTTGGGACGATGTAAAAATACTTGACAAAGAATCACAATATAACAAAAGATTGATTTCAGAGATGATATTTATAAAAAGGCAAAATAACAGTCTTAATTTAAAAACAGATATTGATGGCTTGCCAGTAATTTATGACGATATAATACATAGACTACCTAAGATTTAAAAATTAAAAAATATGAACAACTAACTATTTTCTCAGTTGTGTGGTCGTCTCTTTGGGAGATAAAAATCATTCGTTATTGTAACCTCGAGCAATCAACATCTGTGCCTCCACGTCACAATATAATATCTTACTCGATTTAGCTGTAAGTCTATTTTTATTAATTTACTTATCTTCAATGTTAATTTTTCGTATACTTATGATTTTATAGACATATTAACAATGGCTGTTATCGTGATTCGCAACCGACCTCCTAACAGAACAATTAGCGAGAGATCTGTTTCGCGACAATTACATATAATGACGTTATGAGGAATAGAATATATACTAAAAATGCTCATGCTTTATAAATGCGTTGATCTCGTGTGTTAGAATATAGCTTGACTCCGTATAGTTTTATTATAATGACAGTGATGAATAATTTATTGTTAATTTCTACTAATCTTTAATTTTAATTGATGCGCTGAAGAAGGTTGAAAAAGACAACCGAAACATACGAACGAATTTATTTCTGTCTAATATTTAATATTTTATGTTATAAATCTTTTCGCAAATAAATTTCTAGTATAGAACTTAATTAGCTCTTATTGCCTTTTTATTTGTAGATTAAAATTTTCTAAAGAGCTGTTACAAATTATATAAAAATATTGAAGTATAAATTTTTTTATCAATTAATCTGAAAGTGATTGCCTCCCCCCCTGGAAAAAATTCTGCGGACGCCCATGCGTACAAACATAGAATTGTAATAAAAGCGAAGCAGAGAATTTGTCTATCACAGTCTTTATTAGAGTTGACGATTTTGCCCGAATCTATAGATATCCGGGTATCCGATTATTCGGATAATGATATTATCCGAATTTTAAATCCGAATATTTGAATAGAATAATCCATAAGTTCAAAATCCGAATATCCGAATTGATTCGAATCAAATCTTTCGGGCCATTATCTTATGGATTTGATTTCTAATTTGTATCCGAATAATGAATTTTTCTGTGTGTGAGAGAGCAAGAAATAAAAAATAAAACTAAACACTCTTGTCTTTGCTAATTAGCGATTAATAATTACGACAAATTTTGCTTATGTCAGACTTGAGAAGCAAGCAACACTAATTATTATAGGGTATTCATTGAAGATTGAATCATGAATTAAGGATGGATTTTCTGACTAAATTGAAAATGATTTCTCTTTTTCCTCGGCAAAAATGTTGGAGAAAATTAAAGATAATAATCTTTGAGTTAAAATATTAAATTATTAAATATTAATTATGATAAAAATTAGAAATTTGCAAAAATAGTGATTTTTTTGACATGTTCACTGAGAAACAAGTTTCAAAATCGGTCAGAAAATCCGTTCTTAAGCGTTTATTCAAGCTTTACTACATACCTTGTATATTATATGTATATCCATGGTGATAACGATATAAATAAGAAACGAAAACAAAAGCTTGCATGTCGTTTTAACGTTTTAAGTATTTCTTTCATGAAGTAGGATAAGGAGAGCGAACTTTGGGTGAAACAAGTGGACCCGAATTCCGTCGTAAAAACGAGTTCGAGATTTGGCCACTCGCGTCGCATGAAACGTTAATACTACCATTTCTATTGGTTCTGCGATTATGCGAATATAACCTTATAACCTATTCTGCAAATGTCTGCAAATAATCGATAAATGCAGGAACGAAGAATAGCGTCTTTCGGTTAAAAAAGTCAGGCGAATCGTGACGGCATCAATTTTAATATTATCTGACTGTGGCATATAATTTTATACGTTGTATGCAATAATTGGCGAATTTTTCGTACAGAATCATGTGCACATCAATAAGCAACTCGAGGTAAGAGAAAAGTATACCTGGATCTTTTATATTGTAATTTAATATGTAAATCTAAACAAAACAATTATGCGTAAAGTATTATTATTGTTTTAAGATTAATCGCATTCTATGAAATACATGTATGTATTATCACTATAATGTGAAATGCTCCAAAATGCTACAAATGTGCCAGCAATTACTCTGTTTATATGGCTAATTGCACTATTTTCTGTTGTTGCAGAAAAGTTACAGATCTATCTGATCCATTAATGGCAAATCCTGTACGAAGTGCTACAGAAAAATTTAGCTTTACATGGCTAGTGGAACACAAGGAAGCAGTAAAATTGCCCTGCACAAATTGGGTCTGTTCAGGAGATGACAAATTTCTTCGTTTTCGTCAAATTAAACGAACTTGTGAATTTCGGAAGAGAGTGACTGTCCATTTAGATTTAAGAGTGACGGTTTACTTGGGCGGTGTAACATTTCCTTTGACAAAATACATAAAGAGATTGGATGTGTCAAAGAATTAATAAATCTTCTGAAAGATGTCAACAACTTAACTTTATAAGGGATATAGAGATTACTCTACATTCATTTACTGTTTTTAAATTATACATTATATCGTGAAGTAAAATTGTAAATAATTTGAAACCATTGTCGGTTAATTAAAATAAGAAGCGACTGTATTTCTGAAAGCAGCATCTATTGTAATTGTATATTTTGTACGTGTTGAATAAAAAGACGAAATGAGAGACAAGTTAAATAAAAGTAAAAGTATTTGTTAACAATTAACATTTTCCCTGTACTTTCTGTTTTTTCCGATTTTCATGTTGGCTTGTTGGCTTTGTGTTTTCTGTTGATAGGAGTATTTTTCGTTTCCGCGTTTCAGAACCTGCCTTTGTATATGTCAACTTAGCCGCTTTCTTCCTTTCTTTAGTCTGCAGATTCTCTGTATTTGTGTTTTTATTTGCTTGTTTGCAAATAAATTGCATACGGGTCGTTAAGAAGAATCGTAACACTGCATGAGTTAACTTCTTTTCGTGCTCTGGACATCCAACGAATGGAAGTGGTGAAATACTTTCGATGGCTTTAGTGACTTCAAACAAAGTTTCCGCATTCAAAATATGAAGATTCAGCGTGTCCAAAGTAGCCTTTTCAAGGACTGATATTAATGATACCAACGCTACAGAGGGGTATATAAGAGATCCTCTTGATTGTAATGCAATGAGTTTGTAACTCGCTGGCATATCTTCGGAGGATGGTAATTGCGTGCTTTGTATGCAATTTTCACACACTGCAGTTACACCATCGATCTGAAATATTGCGAATCTTGTTGCTTTTCGAGCAATATATCCAGCCACATACGCCAAGACGAACTCAGATGTACTGCAACTAGAATAGTCGTGTTCTTGTAATATAGAAACTGCTTCAGGAAGAATATCCATATTATTTCCTCTGTCGATTATCGTGTCTAGTTGAGCATTCCACTGTGCTTTTCTGTCATTTGCATTTGGAAGGTCTTTGATGTTAATTAAGACGTTTAATATCTCTCCGCCGGAGATATTGCTTCCTTTTGGCGGCTTCACCAATGAGTACGTTGATACAAGTCTATATATTTGTATAAATAAAGAGGAATCTGGATGATCGTTACACCCACAGCAGCTTCGCATCATTCCGAAGAAGCGCTATAAAAGCAATCAAAATGTGAATACAACAATGACATAATTCAAAGGGAACATTTACAATAACAGCAACACTCAGTATGCAATATAGTACCTCTAAAGCATCCTGATTTAGCCTCGCTGTCATCAGATACTTAAAACCCACGTCTTCAGTGAGATATTTGCAAATTTGCAACGTAGCTGTCAGTGAAACCTTAAGTCCGTAGAATGTTGAGTCCGACATGAAATGATAGCCATTGTTTTTAGCCTCATTTTCCCATTTCTCTATGTACGTAATAAAATCTTCTACTATCTGCAATACAAGTTTAAAGTCGTATAAAGTAAGTGTATAACATTGTGTATTATTATAAAGTAAAGTACAGTATAAAGTAAAAGCAATGAAGTGTGTTATTACTTTCCAAGATTCACTGCCTGGTTTCATAGTACCATACGGTGTTCGACAATTCATAGCCTGAATTAAACGTTTCATTCTGCGGGAAAAGGATTGTGCTGGCTTCGAATCACGTAGGTCCGGCTCGTATTCAAAAAGTTCCATAGCGTCTGCTGCTCCGAAAAACTAGAAAAAATGTTACAGTTAAGTTAGATGCGTCAAATATTACATATACAATCATGTTAAATTACACGTCTAAAAAAATTATGTACTTCAAATGCCAAAGCAACATTCATTTTTTGAAAATATTGCGGTTTTATGTGGTCCTCAGTAAGCTTGTACGCAACCTTCAAATTAAAACCTTTTCGGTTTTCTATTTTTACTATAGTGTACCAGTGCGAAAGCTTGATTATACCGTCAGGAGTTTGAAAATAATGACAACAATCCATCACAAAACACGATGTGTAGATAAGGTTGGAATACTACAGAATTGTTTATTCAGTTATTTACTATATTGGAAAATAGTGAAAAATGAGGAATACATGCTCATTTTTGTTTCTACGTTTATCTTTGTAGATATGAGAACCTATACGATACAGTACAATTCTATATTGAAGAAAAATCACAAAAAACGCGAGAAAACTACTTTCTTTTCTGCAAGCAACCACTTGTACGTATGTCGCAATCGACTTATGAATGGTATGTATTGTTTTCTTTACCCATGTTTCTGCGAATTGAATGAGAAAGTTTCGTAGACACTTAATCAGATGGGAAAAATCGGAAATGAACCAGAGTCTACGAGAATTGTCCACAATGTGTTCGCAGCTGACATTATCCGCTGTTATTCCGAATTTAGCCCACATTGATCTATTCCAGGTAGCTCCGTCCGTTGTGACCACATCCACGTGCAATCCAGACTTTTCCGTAAGTATAATGCACTCCATTATAATTTGATGAAGCACAGTTCCTGATGCACAACCTTTGCTTAGGAAACAAGCTAGCGACTGCACCCATTTTCCTCGGAAAGTTGAAACATTACTACGAGCGCGTGATCACCTCTTTTTCTTCGGTCATGCAGAGGAGTGTACTTTCCTAGGTTCGTGAAACCTTGCATCTCCAGTCTTGCACTGCTAAAAGACACTGTCTGCGACAGCTTCATCTCATCAATAAGCAGCACTCCTATGGCAAAACGGTTACAATTATATTGGTGCTATATTATATGTATATAATATATAGTGCTGGAAAGATTACGTTATTCAAAATAGACTACGTACCGTGCGTTTCTGTAATTTCCATGTGTGCAGTCTTCTGTTTCAATACATCGAATGTACTTTATTGGAACCCGTACATGCCTTTCATGTTTTGAATGTATCGATCGAGGGTTTTTTTGCACGGCAAAACAAGGATTTTGTGTTTCCGAATGTGCTCATACGCACGCCTACTCTTAATTCTTAAAAGAAGGCATTCAAAAATCCACTGGTTATTGTACCTCATGCCTTGCATACTTTTAACATTTGATGCAGCAAAACAAGCTCGCACTGCCATTTTTTGAGCTTCCGGCAACTTTGAAATTGTCGCCTCAACAACGTCTGCATCAGCCGCAGCACATCTATTTCGTAAAGAAGTAATGCGTTGCTTTAATCCCGTAATCTGCAAATATAGATATTTATATAGAAAGTATAGGTATTTATCAAATAAATTACTAAAATCAAGAATATTTGATTTAATCGAAGAGTACTTCTTTTTATTTCAACTGTTGACTATTTCTCTAATAAATAAAATAAAATGTTTGCAAATTTGATAATTTAGTACAAAAGAATCAATTGTCTTCAATTCAATAATTAGTTTTGTCTTGTACGTATGCTAAATTTGTTTACACGTACCTTTCGTCGGAATCTCATAATTTTTTTAGCCAATTTTTAACTTTATTACGCATGTTTCTTGTCTTTTTCTCGCCATTGCACTTATTCTTAGCCGTATCTCGTTTTCGTCTAATAACCAAGCATCGTGTTTTATTGCACTCTGCGCACCTTCGACTAGGACGACCGGGTACACCATCAGTTTTTTCGCCAAATATATCCAACACAATGTTCTGCCCTGTATAACATACAAATAATTTTTACTTCAAGTATATTACACATTAGGTGTTTATTAAATTAAAGGTACAGGACATTTTTATTATACACTCACTTTTTTTCATCTCCTATTCCTACTCCTGGACAAGGAAGTAAAGTTGATACCTTTTTTAATATTATACATCGAACATTTCCTCGATGCTAGATATTTCTTCCAATTCGGTTACATGCACCTCTTTGTCTTCGATAAATACCTGCAACAAATTATAATTTGATTACAAAGAAAGGTTTCAATTTCGACACATAAATGTATATATCCTCTGCGCTACATAAAATGACAATATTGTAAATTATTGTACACTTTTGATTAGTAATGACCAAATGCATTAATTGATATCCAGAATATTTATTACATTTAAATATTTGTAAAATTAATATATAGTTTAATAATATATAATTTTAAATTTATTTTAATAATTTATTATTTTATCACTAATATGCCTTTGTGAAGGACATCCCTTCCAGAAACCACTGCTTTTGTGATACTTACCGTAATTGTCATATCTTTTAATAATGTTACACGGACTGTAGTGTTGTAAGGATCGTTCCAATTTGTCCAACAGACTTTATCAGGAAAAACTTTCGAAAACCACTGTTGCGTTGGAAGCTGGATCGTATCCACTTTGTCTCGTATCACCAGAAAATCCTCAATAGAATTGCGATGCATCGGTGGTGATTGCATAGAGTGTACGAAATCAACATCACATATATTATTATTATTATTATCCTTGTTAATAGAGTAATCTTTGGCTACAGATTGGCAATAATTTTCTTGCTTATCATCAGGAAGTCTGTTACTCGACAGTAACGTGCTCTCTGCAAGAATTTGTTGCTTCATTAATATAGAAGGCACAGCCCCTTTTTCAAAGTCGCCCTTTCTTTTAACAATTTGAAAATATTTCCATTTGGTAAATTAGTGATGAAATATTTTTCGACTTCGTCCTGTCGAAAATGCAATTCACAAACGTGACTACATTTACGTAACGTAACACATATTCCAGCACGGTCCATTGCCTGTTGCCATGTCAATAACATATCATTCTGTATAAATATAACAAATAATATTAAAACGCATATATATTATGTAAAAATCGACACTAACAGAGTGAAATGCTGATGATATATGTTATTATAGTGATATGCGTCAGTTCTTTATACTTACTGTGCGAGGTGTGAATAAACTAACATAATTTTCTGCTTCATATTTTTTTTTTCCACGCCGAGATCCACAATTTGGGATTACACAATACGGCATTTTCCAAAATTATCAAAAAGTTTGCCAGATGAAATTAATCAAATCGATGCCGCCCGACATTTTAAAGTAAAGTTACATTCGCATAATCATAATCACAGAACCAATAGAAAAGGTAGTACTAACCCACACAGCACATGATATCATTTCGAATATTCTGTACACATACTGTTAATCTACGCAATATACATAAGATACTGAGAATATCTTTATAATATCTCTTGCAATATATTATTTTCGTATATTCTTAGAATATACTTTTAATATTTCTTACAGTATATTATTATTAGTATATTCGCGTATATTTTCAAGATATACTTTTGAATTACGCTGAATATTCGTTCAGGATGTCGTATAGATGGAGCCATTTGAGTGCAGAACGTTTTGGCGCGTAAACATACACGCCACGCGGTTTGTGATAGTGTTTTTTCTATGATGGTGGGTTACCGGTCTTTTTCCTGTGATATCTTGCCGCATGACGATGTGAAAGTAAGTCTGTATATTTTATATAATTTTTCGTAAATATAAATCCTTTTCATTTCTTTCAAATTTATCTTATTTTGTGTAAATATATTATATCTTTCACTAAATATATTATATATAATTCACTATAAAATATGTTTTACAACTGCAAGTTAACCTTAAAATTAATAATCGGACAAGCCCGATTGCAACAATACATTTTCTTTTGGAACAAAAATATGTATACCTATATCTTATTTATGTTTCTTTCTAAATAAAGAAAGACATATTTTTGGTTTTAAACAAGACTTAAAGCCAAAATAATGTTGGTGCAATCGACCCTTAAACTTCAGATTTGTTTTATCGTGAACTTACATTTTACATTTTATATACTTTCTTTTTAGTCTAATCTATTTTATTTCTCATTGCATTCCTGTTCCTTAATATGCATGCATATTATTTTGGTACATTTATTCTAATATTAGCCTTTTTGTATATTGATGATGATGTACCAAAATATGTCTTTGATGCATTTATCAAAGTATAATACAATTAAACAATAGAGGAAGCTAATATATAATAAAGTAAAATGTGATAAAAGTAATAGAAATCATATATATTGTATATACAATATATTGTATATACAAAGAAATAGGTTATATTTTAATAATTTAGATGTACTTTTTTCTGATTTATTAAGATTTTTATTGCCTGTCGCTTATATGTGTCTTTGATGTATTATTAGTCTTATAGTATGTCTTCGATACATGATCAAAGTAATACAAACATAGGCAACTAATAATGAATCAAAGATGTATCAAATATTTTACAAATATATTCCACATTAATACATTGTTATACAAATATAATCTTTTGTAAAATTTTTATAACGCAACTTTTCATAATTTTAGATCAAACAATTGACTCATGTGACAAGTCAAGATGTAAAAACTTCTTTTTTACGGATAATGAAGAAATTGTTTTCTAATGAATTAGCAGTGCAATACAGTTGGTATGGAGCAAAAAAAAAAGAAATTTTTTCGCAGTTAAATATCTGCAAAATAATCATGTGTAAGTAATAAATAATAGAAAGTATTTATGAATATAAATTTATATTACTTGTATTTTTTGTATTACTGTTAATTAAATAATTAAAATTATTTTATAAGTTGAATAAAGATAATATTATTCACATACGAATATCATTTCAATAATATTTAATATTATTTATTTTATAAATTTAACATATATAAGATAGGCAATAAGAGCCAAATCGCGGATGACAGTGCGTTATTCTAAACGAAACTAAATTTTTTCGTTAGAATTAAATACCTGTGCACAAGGCACCAAATTTTTACTTGGGCACGGCCAAGATATAAAATTGGAATAATCTCTACAAGAGATTTTTAATTCCATGTATCCCCTATTCCCCCTAAAGAAATAAAGTGCGAGAGAAAAATATAGATCCGAAAGTCGCAGAATCGGGAATCGAAAGCCTAGTTAAACTCTTAATTTATACACGCTGGCTTAAAGGCGTTTATTTACCAACATTAATATATATAACAGAGAAAAGTATAGAATCGAAAGGATCTGAATAGCTCAGTTGGAAGAGCAGTCGCCCGGCAAGCGAAAGGTCTCGGGTTCGATTCCCGATTCTGCGACTTTCGGATCTATATTTTTCTCTCGCACTTTATTTCTTTAGGGGAATAGGAGATACATGGAATTAAAAATCTCTTGTAGAGATTATTCCAATTTTATATCTTGGCCGTGCCCAAGTAAAAATTTGGTGCCTTGTGCACAGGTATTTAATTCTAACGAAAAAATTTAGTTTCGTTTAGAATAACGCACTGTCATCCGCGATTTGGCTCTTATTGCCTATCTTATATATGTTAAATTTATATTTATATTACAGAGCCTAGTTAAACTCTTTATTTATTTTATTTAATGAAGCAAAAGAAATATATAAAAGTTGAACATTTTTAAAGATTTTTTATAAAGTTTTATATTTTAATTATTCTAAATTAAATCTAAAATATATTTCTCTTCAATGTTATTAATAAAAAATTATTTTTTAAAATGTTTTTTTTAGGTGTAATAAGAAAAGTACACAAGAATGCTAAAGTACAGACGAACAAATTTCTAATCCCATAAAAATATGGCTAGCACACGCGAAAGAACGCCTACAAAAGCAAACACCGATAAATATTTAATGTTTGTCTTTACATACATATTTATATATTTAATACAATAATTATTAGTCCGCACACAACTTTTCTGGTAATGTTCCAACAGATAGTTTAATGATTTTTGACTAATAATTGCTGGTCTTTTGCGTTATATAACTCTGCGTTAATAACTCTGTTTTAGCAATATGGTACAAACTGATGTGCAATGTTGATAGCAATTTGTGTTAAAATAACTTTCTTTTATTTTCAATTTTAAGTTCTTTTGTTACAAATGTAAATTTTATTTTTCCAAATGATTAATTCCATTTTTTTTGTTTTTCTAATTAATATTTTATTTTATTTTTATTTTAATATCAAATATACAAGGTGTCCTGTAATTGGTGAAAAATCTGCTAATGGCAGATTCTTGAGATCATTTGGAGATGATTTTTCCTCAACGAAAATGTTAAGAGATCATGTTTTACAGGTTTCCAATTTTTATCATCATATATCTCTATAATTAAACTAAATTAAAATTCTATTATATAGTAAACTCTATCTTAAATTAACTAATAAAGAATGTAATTTTGATAATTTTTTAACTTAATTTAATTTGCAAAAAGTTTTCAATCGTTTATAACTCGAAATTATTGATGGCTGGACATTTTCGCTAAGGAAAAATCGCCTTCAAATGATCTCAAAAATCTGCTATTAGCAGATTTTTTACCACACTCATCTGTATATAGTATCAGATTATTCAATTCTTTATTCTTCCCCTGAGGAATTGAAGGCGCTTTTGAAGGAGCGTTCCCCAACCTTACACAAACTCTTACAATCTTTACTTATATCTACTCTTATCTCTACTCTTACATCTAATTTACAATAACTTAATTCTACCTTAACCTACTTATCTACTACTTTAGAGAGAGAAAGAGCCGTCCCTACCTATCGCTTCGCTTCGGCTTCCGATTCCCCATATATTCTCCACCACCTCATTCATACCTCACTCATTCTCCTCCTCATACTTCCTTCCTCCTTTTCCCCTCCCTCCCCTTTTCTTCCGTTCTTCCCCTCTTCCCTCTTTTTCTCTATTTCTCTCATCCATCCTTCCCCTTCTCCTCCTTCCTGCAATATTCCTTCATTCTTTCCCACCAGTTTCCCTTCTCCCCCTTCTCCCCCCACATTCTCCTATCACATGCTCCCATGTTTCTTCTTCTATCCCACATAACCTACATCTTCTTTTCTCTCTTCTTCCCAGTATCTCGCCCCTCTCATCTCATTGTTCATTCTGAACCTAACTATCCTTCTCCATCTACTTTCCCCCATCCCTTTCTCAGGTATTCCGGTAAACCCTCCTTCCATTCCCCATACCATCTATTATATCTCGACTCTCTTATCCTCTCCCCCTCTTTCCTCCTTTTGCCTTTCCCTGTCTTTCTGCTCCCACCCCTCATATACTTCCTCTCCCCTTCCCCTTTTTTCCTCCATCTCTTTCCCTTCTATTCCTCTTTCTTTCCCAGAATTTCCCCTCTCTTCCTCCCACATCGTTCTTTCCTTTCCTCCTCTTATCCTCTCTTTCATATCCTCAAAACATTTCCTCGCTAAACTTCCTCCTCCCCTTCCTTCCTCCAACTTCCTCCTCATACCCTACCGCCCTCCTTCCTGCCCTTATCCTAAATTTGTCTTTTCCTATCTCCTCTCTTACCATATACCCCGGCGTGCACCAGTCTACTCCTAACGTCCACCTAATCCATCGCTCCTGCATTGCCTCCACTCTCTCCTCTCCTTCCATCCCCATATTTCCGCCCCATATTCCACACCGTCCCCACCAACCTTTCCATTAGCCATACTCTTTTCATCCAGTCTCCTGCAAACCTTCTCTTTCCCATTCCCCACACCTGTCTTATCACCGCTCCTCCCTGCTTTCCTAACTCTGTTCTTTACCTGCGCCTCCTGCCCCCGTTCCTCTGTAGCTTATACCCTAAATATGTGAATTCTTTCACTTCCTCTTTCACTTCCTCTAACCTTTTTCCTTTCCATCTCCACTCCACTCTCTTCATTCTTCCTCCTCCCTTTTTAAAAACCTCATTACCTTTGTCTTATCCACATTCACCTCTAACCTTTTCTTGTCCATATAACTTTCCATTTTCCCCCCACATATGTATCATCCCTTCCTCATCCTCCGCCAACAGTACCATGTCATCTGCGTACGCCAAACAATGCACCTTTTCCCCTCCCAGTTTCATCACCCCCCTCACCCCCCCCCAACCTCCTTTTCTTAGCACTTCCTCTATATCCGCTATCAGCAAACTGAATAAGTGCGGACTCATTGGGCAACCTTGCCTCCACCCCCCTTGCCGTCCAAAAATTTTCTCTCCCTCCTCCTTCCCCACTCTTACCTTACTCCTCGTTTCCCTGTACACCTCTTCTATCCTACTCCTTAAACCCTCCCTCACTCCCCTCCTCTTCATTGCCTCCATTAACACCTCCCTATCTACCGAATCAAACGCCGCCTTCAGGTCCATAAATGCCGCGACTACCTTTCCTCCCTTCTTATTTACCCTCTTATTCACCAGATAATTCAACACATAGATACTATCCATCACCCCCATTCCCTTCCTAAACCTAAACCTGTCTGACTCTCCGGTATCATATTCTTCCCCTCCATTTCTTCCTTTAACCTTTCAGTTAAAATCCCCACGTATATTTGTATAGCGTTGGCATCAATGTCACTCCTCTATAGTTTTCCACTTTATTCCCCGTTCCCTTTTTCAACAGTGGCACTATTATCCCTTCTTTCCACCTCTCCGGCCATCCTTCTCCTCTCCATACTCTGTTGCACATTTCCCATACCCACTCTTCTACTCTCTACCCCTCTCCCCTCCATATTTCCATACCTCACTCGGTATCCCATCCTCCCCCCGCTGCTTTTCCTTTCTTCAGTTTTCCCAGCATCCTCTCTTCACTTCCACTTCCTCTCTCCGCTTATCTCCTGCTCCTCATCCTCTCCCCTTTTTTCTTTTCCTCCTCTTACCACTTTACCTCTATCCCCTCCCAATAAGTCCATAAAGTATTCCTTCCATTCCTCCGCCTTTATCTCCTCATTCACCCCTTCTCTCTCTTTTTTCCTTTCCCTGTTATAATCTTCCATACCTCTCCTTCCGTTCTTGCCTCTGCCTCTATCGCCTCCTTGTACCATCTTAGCCTCTCCTCCTCCCTTTTTCCTTTACACATTAGCTTATATTCCGCCCTTACTTTTCTATATCCTTCTCCTCCTCCTCCTTTTTTTTTTCCTCCATTCCCTTAACTTTTTCCTCACTTCTTTCCTCTTCTTCTCACATTCCTCGTCCCCACCACCCTTTTCTTTTCCCTTCTCCACTCTCTTTTTCTCCTTCTCTCAATTCCTCTTCTATTCTTCCTTCCTATTTTTTTTTCCTCTAGCTCCTCTTCAATCCCCTCCTTCCACCCCTCCTCTCCCCACTCTATTTCCTTCTTATTCTTTCCTCTCTTCTCTTCTCCCCTCTTTGTCCATCTCCTCTTTTTCTTATTCCTTTTTCCCTCCCCCCCCCCCCTTTTCCCTTTTCAGCTCCTCCTCTTCTTTCTAGCGTTACAATCAATGGGTGATGGTCCGATTCTATGTTATCTCCCTCCACCTCCTCTTCTTTATCCTTTCTTTTACTCTATCCTCTCCCACCACGTAATCTATCACCGATTCCCCTCTTCCTCCTGTGTATGTGTACTCCCCCTTCCTATCCCCTCTTATCCCTCCGTAAAAATTCCCCATCCACCCTCTCCAACTCTTTTATCAACTTCTTTTATCTTCCCTTCCTCATTAACTTTCTTGTCCTTCGATCTTCTCTTCTTCTCTTCCTCCTCCCCTCCTATCACCCCCCCCCTTTCTACCTGTCCTTGCGTTGAAATCTCCTCCCAAAATCGTCCATTTATTTTCTTCTTTCTCTTCCCATCCATTCCTTCATTTCCTCCAATTTCCTTTCCATGTCCCCGTTGATGTATACGCCTTATTACCCTCCACTTCTCTCTTCCTACTTCTAAATCCGCCATCATTATTCCCTCCGCCTTTTCTCCCATTCCTGATACTTTTATCTTCCCCTCTCCTCCCTCCCTTACCCCCATGATCATTCCCCCCATCGGTCTTCCTTTCTTCTTTCTCTCTTTTTGCTGCTTGCTTTCTCCCATCTATATCCTTCGGTAACCTCTTTTTAATCGCCTCCCACCCCCTTTCCTCTATCCATGTTTCCATCATCACCACCCACCTCCCAATCTTCTATTTCCTTCCTTCCAGAACTTTTCTTCCTTATTCTTCAGCCCTGCCACATCCAAAAACCTATTTTCCATTTCTCTCTTACTTCTCCTCCTTTTTTCCTTTCTCTCCTGTTCCCTTTCTCCTTTCTTTCTCCTTTCTG